GTGCACAGGTGCATTGGGGAAGGAAACTCTATGGGGACTATACCTGAGGGGGTGGGGGGAAGCAAACATTGTTTAAAAATGAACAATGATGTAAAAATAAATTTAAAAAAATACCACAAACAATAGCTGTGAGAGATTGAGAACAACTTTCACTTGTAAATATCAAGAAGTAGTTAGAGAGGCCAGAAGACATAAAAATTAACAAGACATACATATTTAATGACATGCTGCAGAGTTTACATTATTTATAATAAGTGAAGATACCCTCTGGCTGAGTTTTAATTTGATCACCAGCAAACAGTTAAACTTTTGCTTTGTTAATGGATATTTAGCCTTTACCTTGAGCAACAAGCTGAAAAGAAATACCCCCCTGGAGGTAAAGGTGCATTCACAGAGTGTTTTGCTTTGGGAAAAACAGAACCCCACCTTGGCTGTAACTGTACCCCCTCCCAACTATTTGCATTTTCTGGGGAGGACAGGATGGAGACAACTGGGGTGTGAGATTTGTTAAATCCACATTATTATCAAGAAAAATTCATCATTATTATGGAAGATTTTGTACACATTCATCTATGTGCAATTTTAATCTATTCTATAAATAATTGTACCCACGTTCTCAAAGCTAAAGTAATTATGGGAGACTTATGAAAGGACAGGAATTGGTCCACAGGTTAATGCCAGAAAGTCGAGAAAATAATCATATTTTACCCTACTCAAAAAAAACTTTTTGTGACCTTTTTTCTGGCCAGATTCTCACAGTCCAGAATAATAGCTTGAATGAAGAACTGCATAATTCACAGAAAAACAGTTACTTTGGTAATTTTAAGTGTAAAGATTAGGCTTCAGCCTTTCAGCTATAGTGTCTGATTTGCCAACAAATATTACAAATCTGACCAACTGCAAGGGATGATAAATAACAGTGTCCTTATTGAGTCCCTGCCAAAAGATCAATTTATTCAGCAAAGTCCCTCTGAGGGACTTTGAGGGACTTTTTCCAGCACTGAGGAAAAACTATGTAAATAATATGGAAAAGACTTCCCAATAATTAAAATAACTGAACATTACAAGTAGTTTCCAAGGCCCTGGTAAGGAAAAACTTACAGAATTGAGAAGATTTCATTTACCACAAGTAAACCTAACAAGAAATTCCAGATAGATTACTCCACAGCTGCTCCTTCACCCCCAAAGGCATCCCTCTTGCACGCCAGCACACTTGTGCACACACACAAACCCGCTCTCCAGTCACTGTCCTCAAAGTTTTGTATTTTGACCTGAAAACTGAAAGAACAGCAGTTGCTTGGCACAGCTGCAGCCTGAATGAAGGCTAAGTTGGTTACAACTGTTAACTTGGGGTAGCCACGATTATTTTTTTTTTACAAAGAAATAGCCTTGGCAGCTCAAAGAGTTTCTGGCAGCAAACTGTTGGTGACTAAAAATCCCAAGAAACTCAGCTCTCAAAATGCAATTTGAAAAGAGAAGAAAACAATGGCTTCTTAGAATACTCGAGATGTTAGGTCAATTAAACTTTTTTTTTAAAGATTATTTATTTATGCATACAAGAGCTGGGGTACAGGCCAGAGGTGTGGGGGGTGAGAGGATTCACCAGAGACAAAGTGGGGAGCAGAACAGGAAGACTGACTGAAGCACACTGCTGAGGGGAGCAACAGGGAGACAGGAGAGGTCTGCTGCGCCATGTGGGTAGCTCCCTGGCTGGCTGGGGGAATCGAACTAGTGCTGCAGTGGCTGCGGACAGTTTCACAGGTTGTGTCCTAACCCCTGGTGCCATCAGGAAGGCCCCTCAACTAAGCTTTTTGACTGTGTCTTTTGAGATGAAACATGTATCTTAAAACTCTTCAATGTTGTGGTATCCGTCAACACCAACACCAAATCTTTCTGCATTTTCTCTGGATGCTCTCCTTTTATACACAGAGGTGAGATCAGTGGGCAATGAGATGAAATGATTTTTAGTTATTTGACCAGATAATCCTAGCAGCCCTTCCCTCTTTGCAAGAATGCTGTGATTGTGGCCATAACTTTACCCTGCATTTTGCTAGTAGATCAATAGACCCCAGTAAGTGAGTAGGAACACGTTTGATTCATGCTGTGGGTTATGCTTTGGAATCTTTTAAGCAGTTTTTCATAATTTAAATAGAAATTTTGATTAAAAATTAAAAACTTAATGTTTATAACATCATTTCTAATCTTTTCTTTTTTACCCCAAACTTTAGTGGAGGACAAAAAATATCAGGAAATACGTTTTTTTAGATATGTCTTACGGTTTATCAAAAGATTTTGTATGTAGGTATGTGTGTTATCTCTGAACCATTTTCTTACCATAATCATTCCTCACTTTAAATATCTGGATAAAATGTTATCAAACCACTCACCCATTAAAGAAAATATTCTGCTTTATAACGATTACCTTTTTTTTTTTAAAAAAAAAAAAAAGATTTATTTATTTATGCATACAAGAACTGGGGTAGAGGCCAGAGGTGTGGGGGGTGAGAGGACTCACCAGAGACAGAGTGGGGAGCAGAACAGACAGAATGACTGAAATACACTGCTGAGGGGAGCAGCGGGTGAGACAGGAGAGGTCTGCTGTGTCATGTGGGTAGCCCCCTGGCCGGGGATCTAACTTATGCTGCAGTGGCTGCAAATAGCTTCATAGTGCTGTGACTTAACCCCTTGCACCACCAGGGAGGCCCTGATTACCATTTTGAATAGAACATTCCCATAGTACAATATGTGCCCAGTCAATTATAGCTGACATTATTATGGCAATCCATGCCACCCAATGCACGCTCTAAGGATCATTTATGTTTTGTCTAAACATAGCATACATATTTAATAAAAATTTTTTCAAAATGTGAGCAGTAACCCATTGGTGGGACATGAAATCAGGTTGTGGGTATTCAATCAGAACTTTATTTTAAAAAACAAATAAAATAGAAAAGACAATGCCTGGCTACGTTTTATGTGGTAAGAGAAAGCACTGTTTGGTGAAACTTGTTTTAGTATTGTGAACAGTATGTGTGTGTGCAAAATCGATTTCTTACTATAGGTTGTCCTTGAAAGTTACTTGGCAAGGCATATATTTCTAATGAACAAGGGAAAACAACTACAAGAATTTTTATATAATTAATAATTCTCTTTTATATTCAAAACACAATTACTCAGCTTTCTACATTGCATTAAAGGTATTCAAATCATTTAGAAGCAATTTTCTATTCATTTTCCATGGGCACCATTAGAGAATTAATAGCCTAGTGTTTGTTGACATGATTGTTTTCCATAAGTGGGTTCTCATTCTTTTTCCATTTATCTACCACAAAACCATAAGCGAGTCAAGGGCTCTTGATTTTTCATTTACTGTTCCCCAGCTATGACCTATCTCCACGCAAACATGTGACAACTTCCTTTTCTGAAAAATTGACCCATAACAAAACAGTATCTCATTGAAAAATTATGAAAAATAATTCCAATTCATCTACATAAGCACTCATCTGCATCCACACAAAACCTTCCATATTAAAACCCTTCAAATGTTTATGAATTCTTTTCTCAGAAACCATAGGTATGGACAGAAGGAAAATAATCAACTCAATGTATGATGCACGCTGCATCTCAGCTCTATAGAGGAAACAGGCAAAGCAGAGAATGAAGAGAAATCATTTTAGAGGTCAGAGTTAACAGCATCTGATGTGCATGTGTTGGGGGACAAAGGCAGAATTTCCACACTCCCTGGAAAAGTCACAAGCTCTCCCTTGGTATTAAGCCTGCCATCCTACATCAATATGCAGACTGAGGTTAGGTGAGGGAAGACAGCTCTCAGGACAGTGAGGCATTCACAAGTGAGTCACTTCATGTTCCACATTTACTCCGGTTAGGTGATCTACTGTGACCACTGAAAGGTAACAGGGAAAGCTTTTTTATATCAAGTGCAGTCACCTAAAAAAGCAAGGAAGATTCTAAGAGTCCCATGAGTCACAATTTAGTGCAGACCATTTAGTGAGCACTTCCTCTGTGCCAGACACTATGCTGAGAACGAAATGAGTTTCCAAGCCCTTAAAGCACACACAAATTACAGTTCAATATGCCAAGGGCTGTGGTTGAGTCACACTGAAGAAGATACGAAGGAAGCTTAGAGGAGAGGCGCCCTACCCAGACTGGGAGTCAATGGAGACTAACGGAAGTTTCTAAGGGGTGATGTTGCACCTGAGTCTTAGAGAAGAGAAGGGAGCCTCTTACAGGGGACTTAGGTCATACAGGACAAAATGTGTTCAAGTAATTAATGAGAGACAATCTGAGATAAATAATTTGACTTGGTTCCACCTGAGCATTGTTGCATTCAGGATTGCACAGTTTGAGGGGGCTGGGCTCCAGTGAGACATGGGAAGCTGCGGCGAGGCTGACCAGGATGGCAAAGGTCAGGTGGACAAGTCACATGGGAATTAAAGTGGGAGGAGACACAGGCTGGCATCGCTAGTATCCCAGGAATAGGATGCTTCTCACTCAGATGGACTGCACATTCACAACTATCATTCAATAAATTTTAAAATGCCAAAAGAGAAATCAAACACCATTTGCTTCATAGTTCCAGCTTCTTAAATTTATAACTATTTTCAAGCCTTCCTGTTTCCTTCCATTTTTATTACAATTTCTCCTCTCTCTCTATTCCATCCTGGTACTTGTAAATGTCTGCATTGCACTTTATCACTTAACACTCACTGGTAAATCATTTCCCGTGTAATTATCATTCATGCAATTTTAATGGCTGCCGAGTTTTTCACTGGCTTCTTACCACAGGCAACCATCTTCTTTCTGTACAAAAGTTTTGCAGGCAGTTTCCAGAGTCTCCTATACCATGACATTTTCATAAAATAGTTGCTGCTGTTTTATCTTCTGTTTTCCTTGAGGTAAATTCCAAGGTAATTCTAGGCCACGGGAAATGGATATTTTTAGTCTTTTAGCTCCCAGTTGGGCGAGGGCCTGTTACTTACTGTTTTGCTCCAGGTAAGGCCGGTGGTGTGGTGTTCCTTGATGTATGCTTGAAGCTCGCTCCAAATGTTCAGATAGGACTTCACCCAATCCACGTGGCGTAAGTCACTTTGGTGTGAGAAAGAGTGGAAGAGACTGGAGTTAGGATCTAAATAAAATCTTAAAAAAGATGGGGGGAAGGAGATATGATTACCAGGTCATTAAGGCTGCAGGTGACCGTGGAGCAATTGTCCTTCTGGCTCAGTCACTGTGAGCCCATTCAGAAGATACACCTGCGTGGAAGGTGGCCCAGCTCTCCTGAGAGAGGCCAAGAGCCCTGACCTCAGGTGTGCAGCCGAGAAGATGACAGAGAGGGGACCCCCCCGCAACTGAGCGGATTCGGGCCTATGTCCTTGTGTCCTCTCCAATGGGAGATGAACATCAAGGGAAGAGTATTTCCCTTTGCCCTGCTTCTGATCCCAAATGGAAAAGAACATGTTTTGGGGAACAGTATAGCAAGGGCAAAAAGTGTTTGGTTTATTTTCTAATCATTTGGGTGATTTAGTCAATTGAAAGAGTGAAAACATTGGAGAATTTGTTATTGTAAAAAACGATTTTCTCTGTACTGCTACAGGAGCATTCAGTTAAATTACCTCAATTTGATACTCATAATGACGTTGTAGGCCGAGCAGGGCGTCACCAGCATTTTTTACCCCAATTTACTGAACCCAAGAGGGAGTAAAATCCTTACTTTTATAAATGCTTAAATTTTATAAGAGGATTAACATACAAGATTGAGAGAACTGTTAGAAATATTAAACTTGTAGGTAGACAAACACAGTTGCATGTATTTTCTTTGAATAATTTCCATGCACATTTTTTTCTACTTTGAATGAAATAGTAATACATGAGGAAATGATGACATTTCAACTAACAAAATTTAATCATGAACCTGGGCCATTAATCTCAAGATAATCACTGGAGAAAATCTCTATTATTTAAGTTCTTGCCAAGAATGACTTTAGTCTGGACATATTTTGATTTGTCTTCCTTGAACCACTCCAAGGACCAGCAGCTATTCTAGAAACCCATTGTATTAAGTCGTGTCATTTAGGATAAAGTGAAATGGTTCATCCAAGTCATAACCACTCACTCCTCCAGGAGGAAAAATACAAGTGTGGCTTGGTTGTCTATTTTCAGATTTACAGGTTCTTTAATTAAATCGATGAAAGATCTCATTGACACTTTCTCCCACATTCACAGTCAAAACTTTATACTATAGGGTCTTGGTACAGTGCCTAGCTCTGAGGAAGCAGTGTACACAACAGGTATAATTATATTGTTTTTGGAGTTGATGGGATCCTCCATCAATTGGAGTACTAGAATTAGTTAAAAAAAATGTGCACTTACACACATGGTTATTTAATATGTGCCTGCACATACAACACACTTTGGAGGCATTCTAGAAAGAGCAGGCTGCGTAGTAACTATACTTCCTAGTAAAAATTTAATAATTGGAGGCCTCCCTGGTGGCACAAGAGGTTAAGTTTTAGCACTATGAAGCTATTGGCAGCAACTGCAGCACAAGTTCAATCCCCAGTCAGGGAGCTACCCACATGGCACAGCAGACCTCTCCTGACTCGCCCACTGCTCCCCTCTGCAGTGTATTTCAATAGATCTGCCTGTACTGCTCCCCACTCTGTCTCTGGTGAATGTTCTCACTCCCTGCACCTCTGGCCTACACCCCAGCTCTTGTATGCATTAATAAATAAATCTTTTAAAAAATTCAATAACTGATGAAATCAAAACCTGTCTGGGAAGTTCATTTTTCTTTTATTATAGTATACTTTTGACTTGAAGAATATTCTAGCAAAACTTTTGCCTGAAGTTAATCTAAGAGATTACAGATTCAGAGGGAATCAACTGCCCACTGGGAGCTGTGAACTCACTCTCTGTTTTCATTTATTCTGGAACAAACTCTGGTATGGATGATGTCATTTTTGGAGTCAGTGGGTTTGAAGTGTGGGGTCCTTGGGTCCATTCTGGGAAAGGTTTCACCAGAGCTCCGCCAGGCATTGGCATCTAAGGATCTTGGTTTCTATAGCTGGGTCAATGACTATGCTAATCTCCTCTCCCCCGCCTCCAGCTCCTGGCATTGTGTGAGCCAGGTTTTTGGTTTTGTGGTGCCTCTTTCCAGTTTTTCTATTCTTGTCCTCCATCCTGGGCATGCAAGCTTTGATGATCAGGGTTCAAAGGGGCCTTACCTTTTCGAAGTAAAGATAATTCACTTGCTCTATTCATTTGCTGAAAATGAGCCAACAATCCTCCAAGCCAGAGGTGAGGGTGGCGCCCACTCAGTCTACTGCCCACAGCTGGGAAGAGTGCCTTTCCACTGTACCCACAGGCTTGCCTCTCAGGGTGACAGTGAGGCTGCAGTGAGTTGCAAATGACATAATGATGTAAAGCCTGACATTTGAATTTTCTTTCTGGAATGCAGTTGCTTGATTTAAGCTTTGATATTGAGGCATCCACTTCAAAGAGGGCTTGCCAGACAAGTGACTGCCTCCCCCACCAAGTCTCTTCTGTTTTACAAATCAAAGTTGACTTAGATTAACTGACTGACTGTGACTGACTTATAGCTCTTCCTTTTTCCATTATTCTTTTTTTGGCTTTCCCAAGCTGAAACTTCCCTTCTGATGTTTACACTCACCAATGAAGAGTGAACCCCCCAAAAGCCTCAATCTCTCCCACTCTTGACTCAAGTGAAAGCAGGTCTCCAGGCCTGTGGTGTGTGTGCTCACTCTTACCCTGTTATAGGGAAACCCCAATGTGGAATGGGGTGGTCTGAATGTGGGTTCTAACACTCCCACATGCATAAAAGGGACTTATCAGAAGACTCAACTGCAGGCACACACAAGAAGGTTAATAAAGAGTTTACTTACAAAAAGGGGAAATGAAGAATAACTCAGGGTGAAAGAGAGAGAAATTGGTGAATGCATCCTACCAGTTCTGCTGAGCTGGAACCCCAATAGCATGCTAAAAGCTGGTGAAAAACCAAGGGACTCCCCCAAGGCCCACTTGTCTAGTTATACACCAAATCTGGCCGCTTAACTCCACCTAGTTCCCAGCAGCTCTCCCTTCAGTGGTGATGACATTATGGGATTTGTCGTCCTTGGTGTCTTGTATCTCTTTGGTCTGGGGTCGGGGTGGAGCCCATACAATCTGTGTTTGTGGAGTTCGTTCAGGACATCCTCTCCTCCCAACAAGCCTACCCATGATCTTCTGTGATCTTGTTAAGTAGTTTCCAGATCTTGTTAAGTAGTAAATCCCTTTTTATTTTTTCCAGTTTCCTGAATAGTTGTGACATCCCATCACAGAATGAGGGCACAGCCAGCTTGCTGCACCCATAAATAGGTGCGGGGTGGTGGTGCGGGGTGTTCTGCTGAGTGGTGCGGGGTGTTCTGCTTTTGTCAGGTTTTACCCTAAACCTCAGTGGGGACTTGGGATGGTTTTGATGGCTTCAGGGTGAAGTGAATGAATCTACACTTTGGGTTGTATTTCCCCATCTACCTACTGCACAGTAGGCATGTTAAGCTGAGTTGAGTTGTCCTTGATGCTTCTTGAAGTTCAGTTTCTACTTAATAGCTGACATTGAGAGCAAAGACTGGACTCTGTGTGTGTGTGTACAAAGTGGAGACCCCACTGCTCTTGGCTATGCTGCCACCTGGGGAGAATCATTCATACTCGGGGTCCTAAAATTCACTCATATTGGGAATGTGGAATGTGGGGAAGCTGTTGAACTGAGATAGAAACTAAAATGGTCTCCAAGGGAGATAAGCAAAAAGGCAGAGGCTCAGGGGGTGCCTAAGGGGCCCTGAATAGGCTTGTAAGGTGTGTGTCCACCCATTCTGCACAAAGACGAGGTGCCAATGTTCTCCATGATATGGGAGTCACTATGCTGCAAGTTCATGTTGACCTATTTCCACGACTAGGTTTCGTAATTTAAACTTCTTCTTTTCTGTGAGAAACTTCTATTTTGATGTGAGAAGAGATGCTATCTTGAATTTCTGGTGCCTTTTCTCATTCACATTGCACAATTCTATAGTTTCTAACACAACATGACAACATTTGGAATATCTCACAGGGCACAGTTTTCCGTGCAGGAAGCCTGTTATTGAGTATAATTTCTTTTGCCCAAGTTCCCACTGGGTGGAAAGGGAGAAAGGCATGCTGAAATCTCTTAAAGCTGCCCTTTCTAAAACCTCCAAGACCGGTATTGTTAACATACAATGACTAAACTTTACCAAGGGAGCAATAATGCACACCCCACACAATTCATCCATCTAAAGCACACAATTCAATAGTTTATTGAAGAGAGTTGGACAGTCATCACCAAGGTCATTTTTAGAACATTGTTATTTACTCTAAAAAGAACCTCTCCCCAATATCCATGAGCAGCAGCTACATTGATTTTCCCCAAACCTCCCCTATTCCAGAAAACCGCTAAAGCAATTTCTGTGTCTATCATTTTGCTTTGGAATTTCATGGACTTGAATCATATAATACGTGGTCTTTTATGTCTGACTTCAAATGTTTGCAAGGTTAACTCTCATGTTGCTGCTTTATAGCTATTTTGTTCTTTTTATGGATGAGTAAAATTCTATTATATGGCTACACGGTCACGCGTTGCTTAGTGACAGGCATATGTTCAGAGAAACGCCTTGCTTGGTGATTTTATCTTTGTGTGAATGTCATGGAGTGGAACTTTTGCGGGGAGAGGATGTCCTGAATGAACTCAACAAACACAGGTTTTATGGGCTCCACCCCCATCCCAGGCCAAAGAGATACAAGACACCAAGAACTACAAATCCCATAATGTCATCACTGGAGAGGATTGCTGGGAACTGAGGGTGCAGTTAAGCAGCCAGGTTTGGCATGCAACCAGACAAGTGGGCCTGGGCAGGGGGTGGCTGGTTTTTCGCCGGTTTTCAGCATGCAATTGGGGTGCAATTGGGGTTCTAGATCAGCGGAACTGGTAGGACGCATTCACCAATTTATCTCTCTCTCTCGACCTGGGTCTTTCTTCTCTTCATTTCCCCTTTTTGTAAACCCTTTATTAGCTTTTCTGTGTGTGCCTGCAGCTGAGTCTCATTCTCAGTACCTTTAAAGCATGCAGGTGAGGACCCACACTCAAGCCACCCCACTCCACCTTGGGGTTCCCTGTAACAGAACTACATAAACCTAGACCGTACAGTCCATCACACACGTAGGCCACATGGGTACTGGACCACCGTTATATATGTGGTGTGTCATGGATTGAGATGTTGTTAAGTGAAGTATGACTGTTCATTTTATCTATGTATTCAGAGCCTGAAAATCTGGACATTTGGGTTGTTTCTGCTATTTGGCTATTATGACTAATGTTTAATATTATGACAATAAATGTCAATGTACAAGTGGGCTTATGTTTTATTTCTTTTGGCCATACACCTAGGAATGGAATTGCTCAGTATGACTATATATTATATATATATAAAAAATATGTATTACATTATTGTTCATTTTTGTACAATGTTTGCTTTCTCCTCTCAGGTGGAGTCACCATAGAATTCCCACCGCCAATTCACCTGTGCACCATCACCATAGTCCCTTGTGCTCCTCCCCCTCCTATTTTGATCTCCCTTGCAGAATGTTTCTCATTTATAGTTTCCTGTTAATTCTGGTTTATTTATTTATTATTATTTTGTTTCCCCTGATCCCTTATTTGGTTCCCCTATACTCCTCCTATAAGTGAAATCATCCTATATTCTTCTTTTTCCTTCTAATTTATTTTCATCCATGTTGCTGGGAATGGCATCAGTTTATCTTTTTGATTGCTGAGTAATATTCCATTGTTTATATACCACATCTTCTCAATCCAGTCATCTATTTGTGGGCATTTGGGTTGTTCCCATAGCTTACCTATTGTAAACAGTGCTGCAATAAACATAGGGGTGCAGGTATCTTTTTGAATTAATGTTTTTGTGACCTTTGGGTAGATTCCTGGGAGTGGAATTGCTGGGCCATATGGTAGCTCCATTTTTAGTAGTGGTTGGACCAGTTTGCATTCCCACCAGCAGTGTAGCTTTTAATTGTAAAAAAAAATATTGGTACATATTTCTTAAACTGAGTGTGGAGGTATGGGTATTCTCTGTGATATAATTTTTTTTCTTTTTTGCATAGAAGAACTGGAGTGTAGACCAGAGGTACAGGGGGTGAGAGAATTCACCAGATCCAGATTGGGGAGCAGAATAGGTGGATCTACTGAAATACACTGCTGAGGGGAGCAGTGGGTGAGACAGGAGAGGTCTGCTGCGCCAATGTGGGTTAGCTCCCTGGCCGGGGATTGAACTCAGGCCATTGCAGTGATAGTGCTGAGACTTAACTCCCAGGCCACCAAGGGACACCTTGTAACATAATTCTTCATACCCTACAAGTATTTTACAACATTCTTTTAGATCTACTCAGTATTTATTAAAACCAAAAATAACCCCTCCTTCAGTAGTAATAAAAGTTTTCAATGTGCAATATTGGTCAATCACTTGGAACTACATAGGTATTTATTTATACATTCTTTGTAGTTTTTCTATTCCATTTAAAATTTGCCATATGTTATAAATTCTTTCCTTATAATTCTTATTTTTAGATATATGTTAGTAATGTGAAGAGGAGAATTGATGCAAAAGTCTAGACTATTCCACACATGCCTTCCATCTGAACAGTATGGTTGTACAAATGAGATGGCTCCCAGGAGCCCTTGCATTTCCTTACTGGTAAATGTCACTTAGCTCTTGGGGGTAACCCACTCTTGAGCCCAGAGTCTAGCTGATGGAATTTTATTGCTCTATTTTTGCCTCATTCCTTCCTTGAGTGACCAGGGATGGGCCACATTGTGTGTAGCCAGCTGTTTACAGAGCAGGTGATGACATAACCAAAGCATGAAGAATTTTATGATGCCCCTTCAATAGTTTAGGAAACATTTTCTTGGATATTTCTTTAGCTCTGACCTCTATCCATTTGGCCCCATTTTCAACTTCAACCCCAGTTTAAGTCTCTCGAGGCTCTATTATTTGCACTGTGAGATGCAAAGTCCTTTTAAGTTGCTTCTTCAGGCAGAACCCCTTGGTTCAGACTCATCAGTATTTCCAACTGTCCACTAAAAGGCTGCTATTCTGGCCAACTCACTGTATTTCCTCTTAACACAATCTCTAGTTTTCTTCTCCATGGCCTGGCTTATGGTCTCAGTTCTTTCTTTCTTTCTTTCTTTTTTAAAGATTTATTTATTTATTTATTTATTTAGACAGGGCGGGGAACAGAACAGGCAGACTGACGAAATACACTGCTAAGGGAGCAGCGGGCGAGACAGGAGAGGTCTGCCGCACCATGTGGGACCCTCACTGGCCGGCCAGGGATTGAACCAGTGCTTCAGAGGCTGTGGGCAGCCCAGTGCTCAACTGCTGTGCCACCAGGGAGGCCCCTCTCATTTCATTCTTGTTCTTCATTTACACTGCATTTCCTTATTCTTCCTTTCTTCTCAGCCACCACCTCTATTTTGATCAATGTAAAAGTTTTGTGATCCTAAAGGGCTAGTCCATGCCAGGGCTCTGTCATTACTGTGGATTACGTAACAGCAACATGTATTTAAGTGGGGGAGAGTTCATTCATTATAAGAGACCCGAGGCAGACTTTCTAAAACATACATTGTCTGGATAACCGATTTCACATTCTTTTTTGTTTTATCCATAAAGATGGGATTTTTCTTTCAAGTTTAGAATAAACCAGTTAACAGACTTCGAAGGGAATCGATAATGAACTATGTGAAGTTTTAGGGACAGTTATCTAACAAGTGATCAACTGAAAATTTGGCCAGTAAAAGCAGGTACGTACCTGTGTTTGTAGTCCTTCAAGACCCTGTTGGTGTAAAAGGTGGCCGCGTCATTCATCTCCTTGACATAAGGACCGGGTTTGGGGGACTGAGAGAACAGGACCATCACCCAAGCATAGAAGGGAAAAAAAAATAGGATAAGAAAGAAAATGACTTCAAGAAAAAGAAAAAGAGTGGAGATGTCGATTTGAAAGTTGGAGGCAAATTTTGCTCCGCCAAGACTGATGAAACACTTTTCCCATCTCAGAATACAAAGCACTGAACTTCAAACAGGCCAAGAAAGAGCTGGAGGAGGAGGGAGCCTGCAGGCTGAGCTCTCCTAGCACTCCCCTATGTTACAAGGTGCAGGGGCCACGTTCCTTCTGGACTCACCACGGCTATCCACCCCAGCGCAGGGATGCTCTCGCTGACCGCGGAGAGATGATTGAACATTTCACTCCCCCGGTTTCTCTCTCTGAAAGTCTGGATTTCTTGAATCTTTTCTGATATTGGTTTCAGAAGTGCAGCCACGTCATTCTGTAAGCAAACCAGGAGGAGTGGTTTAATAAGGACAGAGAGAAACACAGCAGGTGTCCAGGGACCTAAAAGGAGTATGTAACCATCTTGTGGATTTTTTAAAAATTATTTTTAGTGATGTACCACTATTTTACATGCTCGCTTGTTTTCACAATATAGGATATGATACATGATAGCCATAATATAGGATATATCACATGATATACACAATACAGGGTATATTACATGGTTCTCCCACCACCCGAGCACCCACAGCCCTCCTCCATAGTCCATTGTGCTCTCCAGCCCTCCTACTTTTAACCCCTCACAGAGATGCCTCACATCTATGGTTGACCAAGTTTCAAGGGTCAGTTTTAAATTTTGTCTCAGTCTATCCTTTGGTTTCTCTGCATTCCACATATAATAGAATCCACTGGAATTCATCTTTCTCTTCTGGCTCACTTTTGTTGTTGTTATGGTGACACTGTGTTTTCATTTTCTGAAGTATAAAATGGCACACATATTTTTTTTTAGATATATTTTATTTATTTGTGCATACAAGGGCTGGGTTGTAAGCCAGAGGTGTGTGTGTGTGGGGTGTGTGTATGTGAAAGAGAGGACTCATCAGAGTCAGAGTGGGGAGCAGAACAGGAAGACTGAACTACACTGCTGCAAGGAGAGCAGCGGGCAAGTCAGGAGAGGTCTGCTGTGCCATGTGGGTAGCTCCCTGGCCGGGGATTAAACTTGTGCTGCAGAGGTGCGGATTGCTTCATAGGTTGTGTCTTAACCCCGTGCGCCACCAGGGAGACCCGATTTGTTCTCTCTTAACAAGGTAGGAAAAGGTACTGCGAAGAGATGGCTCAGGCTTAGAATGGGGTTGTTTGGGTTCAAGTCCTGGCTTCTCAGGGTACTACACATGACCAGTATTGTCTATGGTTCGTGATCTCATCTGCAAACTGGTATTGATACTGGCACCCACTGCCCAGGGCTGTTAAGAGGAGTAAATGAGAGAACGTGTGTGTACTTGGTACAGACGGGAACAGTGTGTACACTTAACAACTGGTAGGTGATCTGTAGGGAATCTGCTTGGGGTCAAATACTATCAGTTAAAAAGACTCTGACTAAATTCACTGACCAGCTCTTTCCTACTTTTTATATGCAAACAGAGAGAGGCTTCCTAATTGAGATATGCAGGTGGAGAAGAAGCATGTTTTTGTTTGGGAGAAACACAGAGAAAGAAACCAACATGTGCTCAAGGCTCAGTGGACTTTCTAAACCCTTCCATATGGAATGAGGGAAGAAGAGAAACTGTGACTGTGGATGCTGGCGAGGTCTTGTGGGACTTTCACGAGCACCTTCCCACCTCCTCACTTTCCCTTCTGTTTGTTACAAAGAAAGATTTTATAGATTTGGCATGAAGACCCTGAACTGGGGTTGTAATAGAATGACTGGGTCCTTCCCAAACTCAAATGTTGAGGTCCTAACTCCTGGCACCTCAGAAAGTGACTGTATTTGGAAGTAGGGTCTTTGAAAGGTAATTAGGTTAAAATGAAGTCAGTAGGGTGGGTCCAGATCTAATAAGACTGCTGTTTTTAAGAGAAGGGATGACTAGGACACAGGAGGCCTCAGAAGAAACCACCAATGTAGATACCTTGATCTCAAACTTCTAGTCTCCAGAACTGAGAAAATAGATTTCTGTTTAAGTCAACTAGTTTTGCGTTACTGTGCTCTGGCACCCTACCCAACTAATATCAGGGTACAGTGTCAGTACAAGAAAAGCAAACAAACACCTCCAAACCCTCATCAACAATAAACCAAAAACATTCCTTGCCCTAATCATACCTATTTCGTGTTTTTTAATGGTTGCCAAAAGTCAGGTTTAAATACTCTCCCTTGAATTTCAATCTTTAGAAGACAGAAATATTTCCCTCTTGAAGGGATTCTTTTTTAGTTCAAATTCAACACCTAGTCAAAGGAGTGTTACAGGTTCCCCCAGAAGGCAGCTGATTTCTAATTATGGCAGAACTACTAAAAAGCATCCTGGTTTTCTCCCCAAATTTGGTTAGCCTTAATATTCTTGATGCAATGGCATTTCTGAGAAAGGTCAGAACATAGGACTTGATGGTAACCTGGCCTATTTTCCCAAAGGAAAAAGATCCAGAAATGGTGTATTTACAATATTTGATAGATTTATTATTATTTTTTAAAAATTTATTTATTTATACAAGAACTGGGGCACAGGCCAGATGCGCGGGAGGGTGAGAGGATTCACCAGAGACATAGTGGGGAGCAGAACAGGCAGACTGACTGAAATACACTGCTGAGGGGAGCAGGAGGCAAGACAGGAGGGGTCTGCTGCGCCATGTGGGCTTCTCCCCGGCCAGCCGGGATCGAACCTGCGCTGCAGAGGCTGCGGACAGCTTCACAGTGCTGCGCTCAACTGCCTGTGCCACTGGGAGGCCCAACAATATTTGATAGATTTATTAAGGCTGCCTTTTTTTTATCTCTAACTTCCCAAGAACAAACTCTCAAGTGGGAGGAGACAAGAGCATTGGAAAGATATTCTATATTGGTTATCTGATGAAAGCTTCAGAAAGATTGAGAAAGTTTCCTTTTGCCTTCATTTGACAATCACATGAGGAATTATCTTCTTTAAAAAAAAAAGCACTGCAGAGAGAGCAATTAAGTACAATTGCTATTGGCACAAATAAACAAGACAGCTTTTATTCTGTGCCAATAGATAGATTTCTCCTTACTTTAAAGTGGCCTTATAGTTCCAGCTTATCGTGAACTCTCACAGCTGCAATAAAAAATAGAGAACATTACAATTTATGGTGTGAATCTTAAGGCTGATCGTGTGGGATGTCAGATGAAAAGTGAATGGGGAGACTTAGAGGTATTTCCACCTGTTGAAGTATTAAGTATATATTAGATATGTGCAATAAATACAGGTCAAGCTGCACTGATGTCAACACTACAAAAGGCCTTTGCATGGACTTGATACATATTTAAGGTGTCCTGGATCTTCACATAGTTCCACTTAGATTTTTTAAAAACTTCATTACTCAGATTCTTTTCATTCTGAGAGTAGTTTCCTTGAAAGAAAATTTTCAAGGTTCACGTGAAGATTAGCTGAAAAGTCTTCCCTAGTGTTCTCCGGGTTCTGTGACTTTCACAGAAGGCAAAAAATAGCCAAAATTGGGGAGAGTTCAAGCACAAATTGCCAGTTTCCGCAAATGTTTCCACGAGTGAGCTTAGCTTGATGGGACTGTATTTTGGAGCATGTTTCAGGGCTGAATTCTTTATGACCCTAGTTTCTTTTAAAGTTGAAGGATTGCGATCCACTATCAGCTTCATCTCAGTTGAGCTCCAGAAATAAAGTAAAATTACAGAGCTTTATCAGCAAGCTTTGGAGAAACTTTACCCAAAAGGAAACTAAATTTCTACTCATGCTGCTTTTTAAAAGATGGAACAAACTGGGAGTTTGACCTCAAAGATGTGTCACTGAGTAAAATGAAGCAAGCCTGTTATTTCTGCAGTCCAGAGTTCTTGTGTGTTCTACAAGAGGCTGGAAATGGATCAATCTGTCGTTACTTCTTTTCAAATAAGTTCTGTTTTGGATGATAAAATTAATATATGGTCTTTGTGAAACATTAGAAAAATACAGATGGGAAAACACATTCTTAAATCTACCACTTGGAGGAAAGCACAGCTAATCATTATTTTAAAGATTTATTTATTTATGTGCTGAAGAACTGGAGTGTAGACCAGAGGTACGGGATGGTGGTGAGAAGATTCACAGAGACAGAGTGGGGAGCAGAACAGGCAGACTGACTGAAATAAACTGCTGAGGGGAGCAGCAGGGAGACAGGAGAGATCTGCTGCGCCATGTGGGTCAGCTCCCTGGCTGGGATCAAACTCAGGCTGTGGAAGTGATAGTGCTGAGATTTAACACCTAGGCCACCAGGGAATCCCCTAATTATTTTTTTTATAGATATAATTATTGGAAAGACCTTCAAAAATAACAATAATTAATTAAAATAATGGTTATTAACATCTTAAGGAATGGCCCTAAGCGCTGAATTCAAGCAGCTCAATTAAAATGAGCATGCACAAAGACAAATAAAAACTTATCAGTGTATTCTTGGCAAGTACTGTGAGAAAGCTCTCATTCCAGAAAGCATGTTTTAAACAAAAGCACTACAAAGACCTACAGAACAACTCAAACAAACTAACAGCATTAAAGTAAAAACTGGACTTTTCAACATGTGGATTCTACCCATACTAAAAATTCTAAGAAAGCACCTATCAAGCAGCCAGTCATACTACCATGTCACCAAACCATACTCAGACTACCATCTTACCAAGGAAGGATCATTATTACTTTGGTTTATATGTTTTCGTGCTAAGTTTTACTAGCTGATTCCACGTGGGTATATGTGTGTACATACGTGTGAGTTATAGCACAGAGAACTTCTGGAATGACATAAATCTGAGTGATAACATAAATTATCTATATAATTTGATTGGTTTCTCCATATAGTATAAATTTTACACATATATGCATCTCTTCTGTAACTAAAGGAAAAGTTTTAAAATATATTAAACAGTTTTGCACCTTCAATGGTAAAAATAAATTTTACAGAGGTACTATATTAAGCCTTTTTCTGATCGTTAGGGAGCAGCTTCAGGAAAACATGTTCAGAAATGATCAGAATAAATTATTCAGATGAAGGAGCGAGCTAATATTTTCTCAGCAAAGATTATCCAAATCAGGAACAGATTTTGCTTATAAGAATACATTATTTGTGCACATTCTAATAAATAAAGTGATTGTTTTCACTATTTTAAGTTAGAAGCAATTTTTCAAAATCAAAAGTGTTAATTGGAGTGAACTTGTTTTGGTGCAGTTGTAGACATTTCCCTAAGCTATTGTCCCTGTGTGTTCTTCTTACATAAAAATTTTCCATTGTCCAGAAACATTTTGGAGGTTTCAAATATGCCTTGTGGAAATAATTTCA